GCCTATGATAGAATTTTGTGTATTAAAAATGGAATTTAAAAAACATAAATATAATCAACGATGTTGGTCAAAATTTTTATACATAAGACTTGGCCCCCCTAAGACTAAATCCTTGATATATATATTATAAAATGGATAGACATTGTATTATAGTATAAGTTTATATATTGCTAACTAGATATATTCTATAATATAAAAAATACATAATCTATAAAACATATGCTAACTACACATAATTACATACACAAACACACACAATTGGACAAATGTGGTAAGTTTATTGTTGCATCTTGAGATGAAGGGTAAAATTAGTATTTTATAAAGAATTTGGTATGACATAATCTTTTTTTCGTTTGCCAGTAACGTCTATTAACAGTAAGGGGTGTGAATAAAATAAACATATTAACTAGGAGGGAGTGCAATCGATAATATCCTTAAAGATAATATATTCTATAGGACGTGTGGATGAAGTTTTCCTTTTCTTTTATTTAGGTGCTTGTAGGTACAACCTTCAGTATCACGACACTTTTTCTCTTTCGTTTATTTTTACTCCCTAATATAAATAAATAAATATATATAAATTATTACAACTAGCTATTTAAATTTCTCATTTATAAAAGTATGGTTGAGAATGTAAATTGGTTAACAATGTGGTTATCCCATCCTAATTGTATATAGAAAAAAAATTAATAGCAAGTTTAGTTACTTAACAACTCTTACCATAGTGTATTTTTTAAGAATGTAAGTTGGGTTTAGGTGAACCTTGCCATACTCTTTAATCATTTTAATACCTACCACCAAAACCTATAATATGCCTTCCCATAGTATATTTTGCTGAGAATATCTGTCTCTCTAAGAAAACTACACGTATAAGCTAGCTCTTTTCCTCCCTTTGGTAAGAGGTAATTAGTTGGCGAAGACGACCAATCTGGAAAGCCCCTTTGATAATGATTTTCTATGTTTCTTTGTCTTGAATCTTTGCCTTCCCTTCTAGTGCTACGCAGCCTAGGCTAGTAATATTTTAGCATTATACTAGAAAAAGTTTGAAATTGTACCATCAGTGTGTTACAAGAGGTTGGGTTTGACCCATTGATAAGTGTTAGTCCATGAAAAGAAGTATACAAGTTTAGATATCAATCTTTGTAAAATTGTCGGAAGTCGTGTGCACTTCATTAGGAGACTTGAAGGAATCACGGGAATGATAATCAAATGTATGCATGTTGCACTTTCGTGTTCGTTTGATGTAGCAGTTAATATTTACTGTCACGCCATATTTCATGCATCCCATTGAAGAACGCATAGCTTACAAGCCACACTAAAAGGTTTTTTCTTTTTTTGTAATGTTTGAATTGCTAACAAGGCAGGCAAGTCAGGCTAGCATTGACACCAATTACGATTTTGATAATGTGACAAGTTCTATAGTCCCATCTTATGATTTATATAGAGGTAGAATATATGTTGTACTTAATAGACCGGCAAAACTAATCCATCAAAAGTAAAAATTTAAATTATAGTGACATAATAAAGTAAATAAATAAAATGATTTAATTGCTATCTTTATGTGTTTCTATATTTAAAAGCATAATCGTTTGATTAAATGGTGAATATAACAAATGAATGAATAGTGCTCTAACAATAAAAGGCATTTGTTTATATGAGTTTTATGAAGAAGTAAAATTACTGTAAAATTGGGTTAAAAACGCAACTTATATTATGTTTACTATGGTACTATGTGAAATTATTATTTGTCATCACAATTTATTTATATTCATTGCATAATATCATAAATGTGAGAATAAATCAGTCACATTGTTGCAAACCAATTTTAATGACGGTATGTGAAAATCAAAATTTTAATCTTATGATCCATACTAAATTTTTTTTTACGATAATATTGTATGAGAGTTGATTTTTGTACGTTTTATACAACTTCAAAAATGTCATTAATGATAACTTTATGACTAATTTCATTGAGTAAAATTCTCAAGCATGCCATTCTTGGGCCCCCTCATCATAAAATTCTAGTTCCGTCCCTGAAAATAGAGACATGATTAAGAAAAAAATTTGAAAGATAAAGTAGAGATTTTTTAAAAAAAATTTTGTATTGTATCTACGTCGTGTTATGTTAAAATTTTGGTTAATTCATACCTGGCCCATTTATATTTATATATATATATATGAATTCGTGTCATATTGTGTTGAAGTCTTGTTTGACAAATCCGTATTTAATCGAGTTCCTATCGAGTCCTATCGAGTCACTGACAGATTTAGTAGATCCACCACTATTGTCAGTCAGTCATATTGTGTTACACTTGTATTGTACCTGCATCTGTGTTATGTTAAAATTTTGCTAATACATAACTAGGGGTGAAGCTAGAAAGGTATCACAGTGGAGGTAAAATTTTAACAATAAACTACAAAATTCAAAAAATTGCACTTTGCACCAAAAAATTTAAGAATTTTTTGTTTTCACACTCAAAATTTAATTTCTAATATTACATCCTCAATGTAATAAAAATATTGTAATCTGGCCCGTCCGTTAGCTTTTATTGGTTATTTCGTCAACGATACGAGGTGGTTTTTGGTGGAATAAACAACAAAAATTAACGAAATGATCACTTTACAATACTTTTAATATATTGAGAGTGTAATGTGAAAAATTTAATCATTAAAGATACACAATTAGAATTTTTAATTTTTAAGAGTGCACAATGTGATTCTCCCTAAAAAATTTGAATTAATAACAAATGCAAAGACTTAAATATTGATTGGAGTTATCTTTATTCAACACATTTATAATCATTTTTGATTTCTAATAATTGAAATATTACACGATAATTTTACTTCTAATGTAATTTACCTTGAAATATACTTTTCTCAATATATCTAAATTAACAATGGGGAGAGAGGGGACGATATATAACGAGAAAGAACAAAGAGTTTCAAAACGATTTCTACAAAATATTTTGAAGGGATGCAACTACATAGACATTATTAAAATTTGCTTAATAAATAAATACTATTGGGACCTAGTTTAACAACCTAATGCATTGTGAGATTTTGATTAGCAATGACGCCCAACCTTAAATGAAGTCTACTATCAATCAAAAAGCCACTAATATATTAAGGCTCCACATTAAAACTTTATATTATGTATAAGTAGAATTATCATTACTTAATTGAAAATTAAAAATAAAACTGAAATATGAGTGATAATTAAGAGGACGAAAATACATAATACTTTTTCTTGTGGAGGCAAATTTAAAAATATATCAAAATATTTTGTAAAAAAAAAAAAAGAATGAGCAAGGGCTACTGCCCATAAAAGTATGAGTGGTTCCACCCCTGTCCATAACAAACTCATATATCTATATAATAAAATAGAATACAATTTAAATTCTAAAAGATAAACAAAATAACTTTTATTTTTCGCAGTCCAAATCATTTTAAATTTTATTTTAAAATTATATTGACAGCTAATATTTAACTACTCAAATATAATAGGAATAATAGACTCCCTAAATGTGTGTTTGTGGTAACTTTTTAAAAATGTTTCTAATGAGTACTAAAAAAAATAATGTTTGGAATGACCCCACAGCCACCATTCCCATTGTCCCATCACCACCCCCACTGCCTCACCACCACCATCATCGGTGCCGCCATCTTACCACCACCTTCACCGCCACCACAAGCGTTATCGCCACCCTATCACCACCACCTCCACTAAACTCCTACCACTATCACCATTATTGTCACTGCCACTACCCCACCATCACCTCTGTCATAACCACCATTTGTCGCGCGCCCCATCACCCATCACTGTCGCCACCACCGCTATTGTCACCTCGCCACCATCACCAATACCATCATCATCGTTGTCACCCAACCACCATCTTTGCCACAACTACCACCATCACTACCATCGCCCATCACTGACCACCATCGTTGTCAACCACCACCAATTGCTATCACCATCGCTTATCGCTATTATCATCGTTATCTCATTCTTATATTTATTATCACTACCACCACTATTCCATCGTCACCACCCACTACCATAACCTACCACCACTCGTTATCCACCGCTACCCACAACCATCGTCGCCCCCACTACTGTCACTGTCCCACCACCACCGTCATCGTCACCCACCATCATCACTATTGCCACCAACGGTTGTCATCACCACTATAGTCGTCGCTACTGACCATAATCATCTCTGTCTTTCACTACCACTACTGTCGCCCACCACCACTACCACTGCTCACCCCTACTATAATCGGTGCTTAAATTCTTTTCTCTCTCATTTATTTTTGTAATTTGATTTTAAATGTGAATACAAATATGTTTATTGTTGATCATTTTTATTACTCCATGCATTCAGACATAAGAAATAACTAATATATATATATATATATATACATATATACTAGCATCTGACCTCTGTGATGCGGTTTACATACCATCCCCTTCTTCACTTTTATCCTTTTTCTCACCCATTATTTTATAAGTTAGTAAAAATATTAAATTACAAAATTTAATGTTTAAAAAAGTTTAAGTATATGGTCGTTAGATAGAATTTATTCGCAGTTATTTGAGATATTTGGTAAAAAAGGATCGGAGGATGAATAACTTAATATTTAAAATTTTTAAACACGAAAAAAATGAAAGGAAAGATTTCTCAAACCCTCTACTTAATATAACATATATGTAATATATATAGATTCGTGTCATCCCCTACATAAATTGTGTCATGAATTCATATTTGCATTTACTCGTGGTGAAATTTAAGTAGATCAACCGTTGTAAACCCACTAAAGCGCGACCAAAACTCGCTAATTTTCCCGTCACAAAACACAGATCGTGCGTGCTACTGTCCACCTCAGAGTCAGGAGTCTCGTTCATTCAGACAAAGAAACAAATAGAAAACAGGAGGAAAGAGAGAGACTATATATAATAAAACTCTCTCTGACTCTGTTTTTTCAACAACCCCCATCACAGGCTTCAAGCATACTTAAACACAAGCTCCATTTCCACAGAACATTTCCCAGCCTCAGACGCTCAATTCTCTCTCTTAAACTCTCATGCCTATGTCATGAGCTCAGATCTGTACTTCAAGCTTTGATCAATCTCGTTTCCACCTCCAATGGCGACCACTAGCCCACTGTTTTAGTCAAATTAAAAGCTTTTCCTTCCACGGTATCTCTCTTTCTCTCTCTAGAACAATTTTCTGAATATTACTTTATCACATTAAATATTTATAGTCTGTTCATGCTTTTAATCTGAATTCATTAAGCTTTATGTTATAACACCGAAACAATACAGAAGAATCTTGGCAATTTTGGTGAAAAGTGTAAATGTGCGACAAAAGAGTGCTTTTTGCAATTGGAAGAGGAAAACTTTATCGATATATTTCTCTAAAACCCTAGTCTTATTTGCAGCCAAATTGGTGAGAAGTATCTCAATTTGACAAATGGCGAAGTCTAGACAACATTTTCCTGCACAAGAATTGTTGCCATTGTCGCCTACTGCGGCAAAATCAAGGGATTGGGAAGGTCCATCAAGGTGGACTGAGTACTTGGGTCCGGAAATGACTTCATCAGTGGCATCTAAGACATCTAGGAACGGTGGTTTGGAAGGACCGGCCCACAATTCAAATGGGTCTTATAAGGGATTGAACATGAAGTGGGTGTATCAGCTTACTGATGTGGCCGAAGGGCTAATGACCAAAATGTATAGATTGAATCAGATTTTGGATTATCCCGATTCGATTGGTCATGCATTTTCAGAGTCATTTTGGAAGGCGGGTGTGTTCCCGAACCATCCTAAGATTTGTGTTTTGCTATCAAAGAAGTTTCCGGAGCACCACAGCAGATTACAACTCGAACGTGTAAGAATTTGTGGTTGTCAATAAATTTAAGTATGTTATTTTTTTGATGGATATGGTAGCGATTGATGCCCATGGTTGATCTCAATTTGGTGTAGGTTGATAAGGTTGCATTGGATGCTATGAATGATCACGCGGAAGTTTATTTACAAAGCTTAGAACCATGGATTCAGGTATTGACCTAGTGTTTTGCTAACTTACTTTCTACCTTCAGAGTCATGTTCAAGTCTCACACTGATTGGCATATTATTTGTACTTGTGTTACATTGGCTTCTATGAATGTGTGGAGAGTACCCCATGTTGGACTTGACACGATCCTAGGGATACTGTTCTGACACACGTGCATCTAGAAAGTGCCTGCTGAGAACTCATAAGACAGTGGGAAAAAGAATGGCTAGTTACATAAGAAATTGCACTTCATCAATGCATGTGACAGTTTCATCTTATATTCCTTTGATGCATGAAATTTTAAGGAGCCAAGTAACCATGCTAATCTCAGTTATATAAAGCACCATTCACCACAGGAGATAAAAGAGGCATAACTCAATATTTAGATGTGCTCCTGTGCCCTTACCATTTGAAAGTTACACGAATACAACACCTAGACACATACCGTAGTCCATGTAAGGTATCAATATTTTCTGTGTATCTTCTTGGGATTAAGTTATAGGACTGGAGCCCATTTGTGACAGTAGACATAAATAGGGTAATTTTGATGAAGACTGGAAATTGCTTCTGAAATTTTAAATATATTGTACACTCCATAGATCCTGCAACAAAGAGAGTCTCGTGCATGGAGACTTTTTTAAGGGCATACACAAATGTTCATTACTTCATTAATAACTAAGATGGTCTAGTAACAAATTTAATCTGTTAGCCAATACTAGAACCTATGCCATCAGAACATGTGATCTAGCAAATTGTGGACATCTGAGAAACACACTATTCCATGAAGCTTTAATCCAAAAATGGATTTAGTAGTGATAGAGAGATCATTGTTGTCCAATCAATGTTCGCATATATGTGGAGTTCTAGTAAATGAATGAGTGTATGAAGTGATATGATTGTTGGGGTTGTAACAGGTCTAGTAGAGGTGAAAGATTTTGGGTTGTTCAAGGTTTTGAATTCCGTTGACCTTTAATATCGGTGACAGCTTTGCGGAATGGTATTGTGCGATTCTCATGCAATGCTACATAGAAGAAGGATTTATAAAACGCTGTGACTTTCGGTTTATATCGTGGCAATGAGTATATGTTGGACGATGATTTGGTCAACTCCGTCGTGTAGTTAGAGACTTCTTTGAGTCAACCACAAAATTGAGTGGTTTATGCAACATGTGACTTAGTCTCGAAACATAAGGTGATGAGTTGGATGCATTTCGGCTGACTTGTATCAGTATTGACCAATACGACCCATGCTTCCTATTACTCATAGTTTAATAGGACTTGGATGCGAACTTAGAAACTCAAAAATAATATTGTTGGGGTTGAACTATGTAGGCATTAGACAGCGCGTACTGGCTGAAACATAGTTTGAGTGGCAATGAGATTTAGAGACCTCCATTTCAAAAAAATGTCTTGAAGAATCTAGTAATGACTTAAATGCTCTCGATCCCTCATAACTTTGAAAACATACATATCTAAATCTCTTGTATATTAGCTCAAAAGCACAATCATAGAAAACCTAGTTATGCATGACCCTTAATGGACTATGAGCTTCTTATTTTTCTTTTCTTGTTTGTTAGAACTTATCCTAAATCTATATTGTAAGGCTTTTCAAACTAGTTATGAGCTTTGTGTGTCTTGACTTTTAGCTGGATTCTTCGACATAATATTAACATTTGATTTCAGGAGGTGCATTTGTCTAAATCGTAATCATTTGTGTCCTTATTCCTATTGAGTTAAACCTATTATATTTTTTGGTAATGTCTATTGTTTGCAAGTTGATCTTTCTATGTTGTACAAGTTAAGGTCTTATAGGGGGTGAGTTTTCAAATTTGTTTGACATCAGGCTTTCCAAACTAATCCGCGGGCCTCTCCCCTAATTACCAATTAATTTTTTTTTTTTTTAAATTTCTAATTGGTTTTGAGCTATGTTAAACAACCATCTATTTCAAAAGTTTAAGCTGTTGGAGAGGGTATAATTTTAGTATTTATATTTCAACATACTTCCTTACGTGCACACTAGTTTTTGGACCTAATACATGAAAATCTTTTTAACTAACAGGGTGTTGGTGAGATTTGACCACAATTCCTCCTGCTCTAATATTAATGTCATATAAATGCAAGTTCACAATTAATGCACTTCCATGGCCATCTTTATTGGGAACAAAAAAGTTGACTTGATTGTTTTTGAGCCCTTAATAAGCCTATCATATCTTATGTGGCATCTTGAGTTGTTCCACGCTCTCTATTTTTCTTTCAAATATCCTTTTAATCGAAGCAATTTATCACATTTGCTCTTTTTACACTTCACAAGTGCTTAATCAATACTATATAAAAGGTTTTATGTTATGGCATCTGTGCAGGTCTAGTTTTCTCTAAACCTTTCCCTCCACTAGATGGATTCCTAATTTCATTTTAGGTTCCATAGCAAAAATACTACGAAAAGTTCAATAAAAAGAGGAAGTAGCCTGTATCTATGTCTCCCAATTTTTACTTGTGTTGGGAACTTTCTAGGCATAAGAGGAGTGCTTCCAAAATCTTATTGACTTCTTCCTCAAGGAATTTGTATCCATTTAAGTACCAAAGAGTGATGTATTTACATGTTTAGTTTAGAGTTTTTTGCACTTTGCACCCTAAAGGATATCTCAATTCTCACTTTACACCCTTAAAAAATTATTTTTCCCACATTGCACTTTGAATGTCATAAATTAGTTCCAAAATGTGGCCCTCGGACTAACATCCGTTTCAAATTTTGTTAAAAATTGATGCACTTGCCATCCACGTGTGTTGCTCTTGGACAAAAATATAATCTCACCATTCATATCCTTAGGTAGCATGTGCATCAATTCTTAATGGAATCTAAAACAAATGTTAGTCCGAGGCCACATTGGAATTAATTTATGGCATTCAAGGTGTAATATGGGAAAAATAATCTTTCGGGGTGCAAAGTGGGAATCGAGATATTTTTTGGGGTGCAAACTGTGAGAAGTCTTTTAGTTTATCATATGAACATACGAGACTTGCACATTTACACTACATAACTTTCTTTTGTCTCGTGCAGCTGCTTCTTGACCTAATGGAATTTCGAGAACAAGCTTTGAGACTCATATTGGATTTAAGCAGTACAGTAATTACCTTGTTGGTGAGTTCTGAAATCATTTCTTGATCACTATGCAACGTAAAGGACTACTGAATGTGATTCTTATTCATCTGGTGTTTGTCCTAGGATTTTATGGAACAAATTGTTTTGTACTACTAACATGTCCATGCTGGTACATGGTGGCCACACATACTTGTTATCGGCAAGCATAATTTTTATGTTTCTAGATGACGTATCTAATGCCTAGGTAACTTCTCTTGCAGCCTCATCAGAACTCCCTAATACTACATGCATTTATGGATCTTTTTTGTTCCTTTGTTCGTGTCAATCTCTTCTCTGAGAAGGCAAGTCCACAGTCCCTGTATTGATTGCTGTTTTTCTCTTGTCAATTTTCGTTTAGATGACAGCTTTTTTACTGATCTGTTCAAGTTATATATGTTTGAAGAATAATGCTATTGAGACCTAATTTGCTGACCTAATGATGTGGCTTTAATGGAACCATTAGATCAACACCAAATTCCAATGTTTGATGGGACTCATAATCAATCCAAAGGTCATAATGAATTAGATCAGCAAATTAAGTCAATAAATTAGGTCCCAATAACATTATGCATGTTTGAAATCGTTTGAATATGATTCACAGATGTTCTTTCAACTTCACTGACATATTTGATTTGATGCTTTCATCATAGATACCAAGGAAAATGATGCTTCAAATGTACAACCTTTTGCATGCCATGATGAGAAATGACCGAGACTGCGATTTTTATCATCGGTAGGCAATTTTCTTTACTTTTTATCTCTTTTTGTCATTTTATTGGTCCTCCTAAAAGAAGGGGGGGGGGGTATGTGGTTTCAACTTGAGATGTTTGCCCTTTGCCCTTAAAAATCAGCATTACACACTAGGATTCCTTTGATTGGGGTGCTGGAAGGGGTGGATTAGACACAAACATAAGTTTTGGCCTTATATTTACCAGGTGATTGTTCCCAGATTCAAACCCACACCTTCACGGATGTCTGCCCTATAACGTTAATGACCACAACGATCAAAGATGATAGAATGTAGAGTTAGATTTTGTAGTCTAGGGTTTTATGAAAGATAAAGGTTTGGGAGAGAAAAGAAAAGACAAGAAAGAAAACATCTTGTAAAGTGTAGAATGTTATGTCACACACCTACAACCTTTATCATATATAAGCACAAGGAGTTATATAAACTACAGAAGTACCCCTCATCTAAAATACCATAGCGTACACTCCCCCTTGAGTTAGCCCTCATAGAATTGTATAATAAATGCTTCTAGGTTTGAGTGACAAGATTGGATAACAAAATTCCTTTTCATAGAATTGTCTTGGAAAATCTCAAGTTATGATATACAACTTGAATGTGAGAGATACGTGGATTATGTATGAACTGACTTATGTATGAGTATCTAAGATATGTTAGTCTATCCACAAGTCTTTGGTATCTCACCTTATCATCGATGATAAGCTTCAGTAGAAAATCTGTAGGTCTACAGTCTAATCTGCCTGTTTCTTCAAGAAGTTGAAGCACATGCTTTCTTTGGGAGATGAATATGACTTTATTTGATCTGGCAACTTTAATCTCTAAAGGTTACTTCCAACAGACCTAATTCTTTGATTTCAAACTCCCTAGGTAAGTGAATTTAAGTTTGGTGAATTCCTAAACATCATTTTCTGTTACTACTATGTTATTTACATATACAATGAGAATTGAAATTTTGTCACTATCCTGTTTAATAAACACAATATGATCAATGTGACTCTATTTGTAGCCAAACTTCAACATACTTTGAGAAACTTTTTGAACCAAGTTTTAGGAAACTTCTTCAATCCGTAAAGACGCTTCAACTTATACATCTTCCCTTCAAATTGGGACAAAAAATTTGGTGTAACCTCCATGTACACCTCCACTCAATCAACATGAAAAATAGCATTTTTCATGTCTAATTGCTGTCGACTCCAACCCAATAGTAGCACAAGAGAAGAGAGTACGTCCGAAGTTCATTTTTTTGATACAAGACGATAGAATATTATTAGCAAGAATAAAAAGTAGTACATGACTGGCCAACGGATACATCAAGGGAAAAAGTCTTATTAAGATCAATAAATTAGCCCCTAAAAAATGGAAAAAGACCAAGTGGCATCATTGCTCGTGCACTTGAGCCCAATAGTCTTTAATTAAAAATAAAGGAATTCCTTCAAAAGCTACGGGGGTAGAGGTCTCCTGATAAGTAATAAAATACTATTAAGTGAATCTCTATAGCAACTAGTCTAATTTTATACCTCTCAACTATCGGTCTACCTGTTTTTTGCGACAAACACCCATTTGTACTATACTGCCTTTATTCTAATTGGAAGAAATACTAGCTTTGAGGTGTCATTCGTTCTATGTTTAGACATTTCGAGCAAATAGTGTTTCAGGCCTTCAGTTCTTGTATAATACTTATGTTTGTGCCATTAACGTTTAGATTATCCTTCTTTTTTGGTTTTTCAAAAAATTTCTCTTAATCTAGTGAAATAGTGTGATAGGAATATTTGTGCTTACGGTGCTCGTGAATTTACCCTACATAAACATTCTTCCTAAGAGTGGTACTGATAGATGCATTGCTCCTTTCATGGTTTTTCATTATGATGTGTAGGGATCTTCTAGTGTTGTTCCATTTCTAGCTCTTGTTAGTTTGTTACTTTTATTAGTTGCTAATCTCATCTCCCTAGGATTGCTTATTTCGTACCAAAATGAACTTTTCCCTTATTTCAAAACTTTTCATAAAATGTTGAATACCTAGTTTGATGTTAAAATCAAAATTCTTCATAGTGATAATAAGATTGAATATGTTGATGAGGAACTTCGTGCCTATCTCAACAAGGATGCCTTTCTTCATCAAACCATCTGTGTGAGTACCCCTAAGCAATATGGTGTTACTGAATGTAAATATTGCCACCTACTTGATGTTGTCCATTCATAATTGTTCACTACGAATGTCCCTAGAATCTTTCTGGAGAGATATAGTTATGATTGTAGCCTATCTCATTAGTCTCTTCTAGCCCCTTTATTTCCTCCCTTCCTCCAGAAGTTTTTGGTTTTGTTTGTTTTGTATATAATTTTGGATCATCTAGGGGAAACTTGACCCCAAGTCTTTGCAATGCATTTTCTTTTTTTGGTCAGACCATCCGGTATCCGGAAGCCACAACTGGCTTCAACTAATCTGGATTCGAGTCGGGTAGGACCATAAGGGTGGCAAAGCTCTCCCTACTGAACGCAGTTGCATTTTTCAGTCTTGAACCGAGGACCTTCGTTAAGTTAGAACAGCCCTTCACCAGCTGATCTACCCACTCGGTGGTCTTGCAATGCATTTTCATTGGTTATTGTGCCACTTAAAAACTTAATAAATGCTATCATTCAGTCTCCAAAGCATATGGTTGCATGGATGTTACACGTTGCGAATTTGAGTCTCTTCAAGGGGCGGGACACTATTATTAAGGAAGAGATGGTTTGTTAACGAAGTTGCCTATTCAGTGAGGATTACCTATAGTGATGGGAGCTATAACTTATTTAGAAAGGAAGGGAGGTGATTCACCTATTTGTCGCTAGGTAGAAGTGATATGGAGGCTAATCTCGAAGCAAAATATGTCACCTAGTTAGTTATGTTAAGTGAACTTATATTTCACATCAAATAATTAGGATCAAGATTGATTTATAAACTTGAGGGTCCACTCAACCCATTGCGAATTTGTTTTGAATTGGATACTATAGCATGGTATCGCAGTTAGGCCTTGGGTGACCAGCGAGTCAAGTCTCTTACCTTTTTTAATTTTTCAGTATACATAGTTGTGTGTTTGTTTGTTGACCCCACGTGCGAGCTCGAACTCCATGTGAGGGTGGGTATTAAGAGAGCTTGTTCCTCACATCGATATGGTGGATTCATTTGTTGCTAGACGATCTGGTAATGGACTTGGTCTAGTTACTTCTGTGAATTCTTCTACTGGTGCAATTTCCCCTACCATTTGTGGTGCTAGCCCTTACTAAATCAAAGAAATAAAACTCTATTGAATGAATCCACTTCTCCCTCCCGAACAAAGGTTAATGGTTCATGGAAAAGCGTCTTTTGAAAAGTCGTATAATTAGGATCACCAAAGTTGGTTTATATACTTGAGGAGCCACTCCACCCATTGCCAATTGGTTTTGGGTTGGATGCTCCAACAAGTTGCATTCCCGAACTCTGATTACAACATCTCTATTGATTTATCATGAAATAAGCTTTCTACTATTACTGCCGTTATTGAGGATCGAGTTATTAATTATTTTGAGTTTCCTATTGCTGCCAGGAATGGTGTTAGAGATTTTGCTCAACATCAATTCTCTAACTTTGTCTTTTATAATTTCTTCTATCTTTCAAATCTTACCTTCGCTTCCTATTTGTCTTCTGCATCTTCCTGTATAATTGGAAAGAAACTCTCATTGACCCCAAATGGACACAAGTTGTGGTAGCAGAGATGTATGCCCTGGAATTATAAGACGTTATAATGTCCAAAAAATATGGACCACCACGTGTTTTACCACTGTCAATCATTTTCCTCATTTTTAGTTGCTTAAAAATATAAAGAGTATGGAGGAATTTCATTGAACAGTTCCAAGGAATTTGTAATATTACTAACAAGTAGTAGTAAGTTAGTAGAGAGATTAGGAGTGTAAAGAATAGATAAGAGGGATAAGGATGGGATAAATTATTTGAACCTTTCACAGAAATAGAGCACAAAGATCCAAGCCACTCTTAATTTGTCACATGTCGAGTTGGAGGAGAAAGGGTTGGAAAAACATGCCAGGTGGTCAGTAGCTCCAGAATTTGTTATCACTTGAGTATATATAATGACGAGACATTAAATACACTAGCAAAAATACGCGTGTGACCAAAATGGGAAGAAACAGAATTAGAAGCTGTAGTATATGAAACATCAAGCGAAGTCATCAACTATATGAAATTCTGAATCTAATCCTAAGAAACATTAGTAGAAGTACTGCAACTAGACAAAGAAGGTGTTTCTGTAGACTCAATCATATGAGCTTGGGAATGCATAATACCACCTCTGCCATGGCTGCACCCATGACAGGGATGTTCATTCAACTTTCAACAATATTCTCTGGTATGCCTAGTTTTCCCACAGTAATCACATTTGAATTCATCCTTGACAATAGTAACATTCTTGTTAGGAGATTTGGACTAATTTGATATCTGGGGGATAACAACTAGAGCACATTACTTCTGAATGGTAGCATGAACCATAACATTCCTTCTATTGAACATAGACATATGCTTCTTACAAGATGGGAAAGAGATTACGACAAAAA